GGAGGTAGGGCTGGTTGGTGCTTTGCCCACTGATGGGAGGAACAGATTGTTTCACCAGGCTTGGAGGGAGCGATGCTGAGCCAGAGGAAGGTGATGAGCATGGGGTCACAATGCTCCTGGGGCCTGGGGGGATGGATGTGTGTCTGTGTGTGCACGTCAGGATGGATCTGTGCTGTCTGGAGCCTGACTGCTCCTCTCTTTGGTGTCTTCATCAAGGTTTCCTGTGACAAGATGAATGTGATAAATATTTTTGCAGATCATAAGGTAAGAAAAAACCCCAACCATGTAGCCCTGGTGGGTGCTGGGGGCCAGAGGAGAGCACAGGGGGGTGGGAGGCAGGTGGGGAGCCTGGGATCCTGCCTGTCCTGGTGTGGTGCTCTGGAGGAGCAGGAGCCCTCTGTGAGCCCCCAGCACAAACACTGGGCTGCCCAGCTGGTTCTCAGCACTCCCAGTGCCCTGCACAGGTGCCCTCACCTTCCCACACCCATCTCCACCTCCAGCCAAAGCAGCATTGGTGCCTTCTGGCCACCCTGGGGACAGGGAGAGCCCAGAAGAAGGGCAGGGATGGGCACCTGTGCTTGGGCAGCAGAGGGTTCAGCTTTTCAGAGAGAGGAACACCTCCCTTTGCCTTGGAGAGCTGTCACCAGCTCAAACACCCACACACACCTATTGCACAGCATCCTGAGAGCTGGGTATCCCTCTTCAGCCCCTTATCTGGGGAAGCCTCTGCAGTTAGCACAAGATTTAATAGCAGATAACAAGGCCTCTTTCTGCTCCGAAAACTGCTGCCTAAGCCATGCTTGCCAGCCCCTGAGTTCCTGTTTTCACAGAAAGCCCATGCCCTCACCTCATGAGAGGAGATGCCTGAGATGCTGCACAGCCCCACACTCACAGGGACAGCCTGGTCACTTGTTAGAAGACACTGTGAAAGCTGGGATAGAGCAGGCAGCACTGGGAACATCCCCCAGGGAAGAAAGTCAAATCAGTTTGTTATTGCCACCAGCACTGCTCATCTCCCAGGTGTCTGTGCTATAGGGCTTCTCAAAGCCCCTAATGAAGGCAAACTCTTCTGATTATCCCTGCAGCCTCCCTGCCTGCCCAAAGCAGCTCCACAGGGTCCCACACGCACGCTGCAGCAGGAGCACGGTGCTCCAGCACAGGGGGCTCCCTCTGTGCCACACTGCCACAGCTTCTGCCAGGGCCCCACTCCTCCTCACCAGGAACGGGATGGCACCAGTGCCAGCTGTGCACAGATGGAGCTGGGAACCTTCAGGGAGGCTTTGGCACCTCAAACCACAATCCTCACCTGTCCTTTAGGATAGAAATGTATTATTTGTAGTGATTTAATCTGCTGCTAGTAAGAGCAATGACTATACCAAAGTTTTTAAAAGCCATGTGTCTTTTCCCAGAGAGGTAACAACACAGAGATCTTCTGCAAAGCTGCCACAATTGCTCGGGAGACCAAGAGCTGCCACAGGGAGCTGGGGGGCATTTACTACAACTTGCTGAGCCTGGGCAGAGCAAGGCACAAGGTGAGGCACAGTTCCCCTTGCACTGCCGCCCACAGCAGTGCCACAGCCCTCAGGCTTCTCCCCTGGTCACTGTTTTTGTTTCACTCTCCCACCACCCCTGGCAGCCCAAGCCAAGCTGCAGAAGCCAATCCCACCCCAGCAAGCTTTCTAACAGCCCTTTTCCCATTCCAGAGGCCATGTCCTGTGGCACCAGGCAGCACCACCTCACTGAAGAATTTCCTCAAGGAATTAGACCACGTCCTCCAAGAAGAGTTTAAGAGTCTGAAGTGAAAAAACACACTGCCTTTTTAAACTATGACCCTATTTTTCAAAGATTATGTATAATAATTCTTTAAATAAATGTATTTTTGGATTAAATGTGCTGGCATTGTATAGGACATTACACAAGGCAACAGTTAAGAGAGTTTCAAGTTTATGGAGCAAGGGTAGTATTGTGGTGGTGTTCCCCAGGAAGAGGGAAGAGATGAGGATCTGACTCCATGTTTCAGAAGGCTTGATTTATTATTTTATGATGTATATATTATATTAAAGCTATACTAAAAGAATAGAGAAAGGATTTCATCAGAAGGCTTGCAAGGAAAGGAGAAGAACAGAATGATGATAAAATCTTGTGCCTGACCACACAGTCTGAGCCAGCTGACTGTGATTGGGCATTAATTAGAAACAACCACATGAGACCAATCACAGATGCACCTGTTGCATTCCACAGCAGCAGATAACCATTGTTTACATTTTGTTCCTGAGGCCTCTCAGCTTCTCAGGAGAAAAAAATCCTAAGGAAAGGATTTTTCATAAAATATGTCTGTGACATAGTGTGACTAGGAATTGCCAAACACTTTGTCCTGCTATGGCATTAAGCTCATGCTAACACGAGGAACACAGATTTAAACAGAAAGAAAAGCCCAAGAGGGGAGAAGCCAGGCCACAAATGGGGCATGCTCCTGAAAGCTGGGAACTCCCAAGGACATGCTGGAGCTGCAAAGGGAGCAGCCAGGGCTGAGGTTCTCTCCTCACTTCACTGAGGCTTGGCAACAAGGCTCCAACACACCCCAAACATTCCTGCAGCATGCTGGGCAGCTCAGAGCCACAGAGGCACCTCACCCACCCTTCCTCACACAGCTGGGTTGAAAAGATATGCTATGCATAATGTTATTTGGAAAACATGCACACAGGGTGGAATTAGGAATCAAGAATTTTATTTCATGGTATGAACATGCTCCAGGGACACAATATTGATATATACAGTATAATGAATTAGCTTTAATAAAACAAAAAATAGTCAGAAATAAACAGAGTTAAAAAAATAATAAACAGAAAGACAAATTATACAGAGTAGCAATTTTTCCCTCTATGCAGGCCTGGCTAAGCAGAACTGTGGAGAAAGGTGAAAGCTGGACATGTGCAGACAGTGTAGTCAGTAAAAGGCACTAAGGACCATTTCCCCTCCTCTTAAAGGATTAGGAACAAGTTCAATATTAAATAATTCATTTACACAACATCAAGCAAAAATCTCATTGTTAAGGTCAATGTTCTGGAATGAGGAGACTCTTCTGTTAGCAAATGCAAAGATGAGCACACACAGTGTATGTTATGCAAGGTGAGTTTTGATAAATACCATAGAGCACATACTGACCCACAATAAGAAAGGCTGTATTAAGCTCTTTAAAGTCCATATAAATCAAATCCTTGCCTTATTAAAACACATTATGGGCCCATAAGACATTCACAGATGGGCAGGCCTATAGAGAGGCCCCATGTGGTAAATCCACAAGCCAAACTCCTGGTTTTACAAGAAACTTCCCAGAACTTCAACAAAATCCACCACTTAACAGGTGAGCCCAGCTGACAGGGCACATGACCATGAGAGTGTTCCACTTTATTTAAAATCCTCTTACAGAGGTAACAATTTGTCCTCCAAGCCTCTACAACAGGAGATAACCAGTTTCTCCAATCTGCCAATTAAAGGTGTGCAAGAAATTACTTATTGTTTACCCCTGCTCCAAGGCTCACTTAAACATGCAGAGTACCAAGGTTTTCAGCAGCAGGACTGTTGTGTTAATTGTAAATCAAATGCCTTTACATCTGAAGCATTTTAAATATTTCAATATTTTAAATGGAGTGCCATGGTTCACAGCAGTATTTTGGAGGGACTGATACCTGTCAGGTAAAAGGATTTTTAATGGCATTTCTGAAAGCACAGTTCTGGTTAACTCCTGTAAAACCAGATCATTCAAGAAATGTTAGCACAAGATAGAACACAAAAAGGAAACAGAAGTTATCCCTGGTTCTGAGAGCTAGTACAGGCCACAGCTATGCATCTGCTTGGACTCAGAACTGGAAGACTTTAAGCAGCATTTAAGCCATTTGCAGTCTGGATATTTTGATGAGAAGTATGTAGGTATGTAATAAGAGATAATCCAACTCCAGTCAAGCACATTTAAGATAAGGTCAGCTCTTCACAATCAAAACCAACTACAGCTTCAATCCAGAAAGTTGCTGAATATTTACCCCTAAATGCTAAGCTAGAAAGAACAAATGCTAGTGTTTGTATCTGTATGTTGTATGAATTCAGGTGGCACTCCCCCCAATAGAGAGGGCAGCATGTTCTTCCAGGTCATGATCCTGAAAAAAAAAACCATTAAAAACACCAGGAAAAAGCTCACAACTTGTTTAGAATAGCACTGAATATATCCTTCAGAGCAAGATGTCCTTACAAGACCAGTTTTAACTACTACAGATCCTGTCACAGACCCCAAGGTACCTCCAGATAACCAGCATGACAGAAAGAAAGGGAATTTCATGTCTTTAAGTACTTCACAGGAATATTCTGGTAAAAGCAGATGTGGCTACTAGCAAGGACTCAAATTCCCTGAGGAACTGCCTTGTTTTCTGTCACACTGAAGGGCTCCACTTCCCCTGTGAGCAATCACAGCTTTTAATCCTCCAGGAACTAAGATGAGGTCACAGCTCATCCCTCCACCCTGCACAGGAGCTGCTGAGACACCCACAGCTGATGAGAGGAGTTATAAAACACACACAGTCTGAAGGAGAGGCATTTTCTCTGTGACACAAAAGCAACATATTAAAGTGATATGTGTCTATTAGCAGCATAAATATCAAATAAAAAGAGCAGCCATCACAAATAAATGGTTATTATCAGAGACCAAAAGTTTTTTCCTCTCAGAGCACAGCCAGAGAGGCACACAGTATACACAGGAACACAGCACCAGCTAGGTCAGGGGATACTGTTCTGGGAAAATTGGACAATTCCTTCTGTTTTACTAAAGGAGAGTCAAATTTATCCTCAGTGGCCCAGTGCCTTGCAGCCAGGGATGAGGAAACAGAGCCACAGCCCCATGGCTGACACCAAGTCCTGGTGTTATTACAGCATCCTCCTTAAAGCATCTCAGCTGTTTAGATTACAAAACTACTCACACAAAAATACCAGCCCTGAAGCATGAAACCCCAGAACCCCGGAAAGCTGCCAAAGTAACACAACCTTAGAAGAAGGAAAAAAGCTCTCTTCTGCCTTAATATCCAAGATCTCATTCTCCACAGTGCCAGCAGATCACAAACAAACTGATAAAAATAAAAGAACTATTAGACACCTATGGTCCCTTTTCAGCAATCTCATGTGTTCATGGTTTTCCTACCCAGCTACTTTCTCTGTACAGCAAGACAGCAAAAAGGGAAAAGGACTGTGTATCCAACACATAACACAGTGTGTTAACAGCCACAGTGAGGAATATTAAATAAAAAGATTTGATGCTCTTAAAGGTTTGCAGCAACTACATTCAAACAGAGATCAGTGCAACAGAGGACAACAGTGAAAGCTGCCAGTTATGTGCAAAGCAGGGCATAAGTCAGATTTACCAGCCTTAATTTCAGGATTTCATTAACTGTTTTGAACTAACACATCTAGCACTTAAACACACATCTAGAACCCTATTTTCTATACATTTCAACAAGGATTACCAACAAGTTTCCCTGCACAACACACTTAATACATGGAATTTCACAACCATCAATCATACATACCAGTTTAATATTATGTTAATATAACATACAATATACAGGCAACTAAGGAAAAATACATTTTTTTAAATAAAAAAATGATAGCCATGTCAAACTGTGCCATCTCTTGAATTCCATATTCTGGCCAAACCTTATACACTCACTGATTTTTACAGGAATTCTGACCAGGTGACACTACTGCAGCAGGGAGTCAATGACAGCTCCTGGCTTGGCCGAGCGTTTTCTGTTTGGAGAGCAGAAAGGAAAGGGAAAAACAACACCACACACACATCATTATGCTGTCTAGGAAGGACAGGGACCAGCCACATTTAAAGTCAAAACTACATGACATGACATGACTTCTCCATAAGCAAAACCAACCAAACAAAAAGCACAAGAAAGCATATGCTGAACTCTCCCCCAACAGCCCTCTCCTCTCCACTGGGACCAGTGTTTGCACTTGCACTGTGCCAGATTGGCTTAAACTGGACCACCAAATGCAGCAAAATAAAGCAAGGAGCTGGAAGAGGAGAATGCAGCAAAAGAACACCAGAAAATCCCTAGACAAGTCTTTCTGGACAAGATTTAGTGTGCTAAAGAGACTTGGTTCTGTCACACCGGGCAATACTGAACTATACCATGCAAAAATTTTGTCCTTTGCCTTTTCATTAAGCAAATGTTTGAAGACTTGTGGTAAGTTTGCATATACAAACTTCAGCCTTCCCTTGGGTAAATCCCTCATCGCATATAAATACCACAGAGTTCTTCACCTTCTCCCTGTTTTGGGCCTGGATCTTCCTTTTGAAGTTCTCGGCCTCTCCAGCTTCATCAGAGATTGCCTCAAGCTTTCTTCAGTGTAGGCTAAGTAAACATGGGAAAGGTCCACTTCAAAGGGCTGGAAAAACACCAGAAAATCTCATAAGACAAAGTCATCAGAATAATTTTATACATTCATCAATGGTGCTTTCATGATACTCAAAGACTCATCTTCAAAAGAAAAGAGACTGAGACTGTCAGTTGAGATTGGACAGTTTGGCTCTAAATACAGAGCAGCAATCTCAGGCAGGACTTGGGCCTGTACAGTTCAATGAATTCAATAGTCACTCACATCCTTCTCTTTTTTATCCAGGACAGGTGTCTGTTTCCTCATGTTGTTTCCTGTATATGCAACACATTTCTGTAAGCAGAAATAAAGGTTTGTTATTAAAGTCCACTGTTCACAGTGAAACTGACTGCAGCTTCAGCAGCTTCTTCCTGGGCTCAGTTAAACCCCTCAGAAGCTCATACTAACATCAGCTTGCACACCAGCCAGGCCAGGCCACCACTCTTACCAGCTGCCACTCTCCTATGTCCTCGTTCCAGTGAACGTAGTTCTCAATCATTTCCTACAAAGGAGTCAGGACAGTAAGTGTTAGACTTGCACAATCTACCCTCCAGGTGCACTTTCCAGAACATGCATCCTAAGGCCTGGGCAAGCTGCTTGAGAACACAGTCTTGATTCCTTACAAGTTGTTCCTATCAGGACAGCTATATCCTGAGCAAAAACTATCCCCATTTATACACTGAAGTCTACAGAAGAGAAAAACACCACTCCCAAACTGTATGTACTGAAAAGCCCCCTAAAGCACGGGATTTCCATTATGCCAACACCATCAATACAGCAGTAAGCAAACGCTGTAATACAGAATAAATGAAAACTATAAAAAGAATTTCCCTTTTCCCATTAAATAGTGTGCATTATATTTAAGCTCATTGTGAATTTTGTGTATACTGGAGTCACAAAGAATGTCAAAGATTTAAAAATCCAGTCTTTGTGTTAATATCAGACAATAGGAAGCACAAAAAAAAAAAAAAAAGGACTTTGAACAGACCCACTGCATGGGCATGGGCACACAGTGAATATACCAGTTAACAATGTGGTTTTCTTATTTTTATAAGCCTTTAGGAAAATATGCTGCAAGAGAACTGAAATTAGCCCAGCACAACCCCTGCCCCAGGCTCAGGAGCTTTTCCCTCACCTGGTAGTCCTGAGGAATGAAGTTGTCTATGATGAGAATCTGAAGCCGCAGCTCCCTGCTCAGCTGCCGAATGTTTTCCAGCAACCCCTCAATCTCTCTCTGATGCTCTTGCTGTAGATCTGCCATCTGAAAATAAACCAGGCATTTGAGAGGCATCAGACTTATCTTTAGACATGGTAACAGCATCTTTTGTCTGTATGAGGTTTTTGGAAAACAAAAGCAAATTCTGGTTATTAGTACCAGAATATCTCTGAACAATAAATTGTCTGAAAGATTTCAGCTCAGATGGCTGAAAACAACATTAAGTTCTCAGTTTCATAAACCCAGAACTGGCCTTCTGCCAAGCTGATTCAGCTGAGACTAGATGAAGAGCATGAGACAAGTTGCATCACTGGCAAGGTTTCAAAGAAAATCTCTGATCCCAAAAACCAAATGCATTTTTTATGAAACGGGAGCTCCAGCTACCAGCCAAAGATACACTGCTCCAGTGACTGAGGATGAGGTAACCAGGGCATCAGTCCTAAAGGACAGGCAGCTCAGAGCAGAGAAACCTCTAGGCTGCAGCAAAGCAGGACATGGGGCTGCCAAAAAGCAACTTGCATTTTGTTTCAGAAATAATAAGTGGTTTTCCTTGAAGCTCTTGATATCTTAAGGTGTCACACATAACCCTTTTCAGCCTGGCCTGGGGAAAAGCTCTACAGCATGCTGTTCTAAAGCTCCAACTCCAGACTTAGTGTTTTTGAATTATGTGAGCGAAATGCACAGTACAGAAAAACATTTCTAAACATACAGCACATTTTCCAGCATTACAAAGCTGATGGCTTACCCTTCCCAGCTCTAGTGCCTCCCAGGATCACTGGCTGAGGACTTTGGACACTGACCTCTGACTTTGCAGCCATAAGCATGGTCCAAACTTTCTTCAGTTTTTTGGTTTTCCCCTGTGCTTCCTCCTGGAGGTTGGTGTACTTCTCCTCAATATCCAAACGTTCTTGCTGTGGACAACATTTAGCACAGACACACACATTAACAGTCACAGAAACTCTCTGCAACAGTGAGAACAAGAGGAAAAACTACTTGAACAAACAAAGCATTTGCCAAGAGCACAGAGCCCTGGCTGAGGCAGGCTGGCTCAGACCTGCAGGAGCTGCACAGCCAGTAAGTGGCCTGTGGAGGGGTGGCTCCTGCAGTGCTCCCAGAGCAGAGCCCACCTGGGTACCACATCCTGGTGTGCCCTGCCACTGCAGCTGTCAGCCAGCCACAGAGATACCCCACCTCCTTCTCCTCGAGCTCCTTGCGAAGCTGCTCCGCTCTCTTCCTTCGCTCCTCCAGCTCCATGTTGGATTCTTCTAAAAGCTTCTCTTGCTCCTCTGCTTTTGCCAGCAAGTCCACTCCTCCCACAATCACCTTTTTCTCTAATGCAGAGAGTTTCTCCAACAGGGACTGGTGCTCTTGCCTAGACAGACAGGTAGGTGTGAGACTTCCTGTCCTACCAGGCTCAGCAGGCATCAGGTCCAGCTTGGTTTTATAGCCCAGACAGCACTGACAGGGCTGGAAAAACTTGTCCTGCTGCTGAGGGCTTAACTGGGGGTGAGGCAGTGCAAGTGAAAGCAAACTCCTCAAGCTGCAGCTCCCACCACTTTCTCTCAAGCAAAACCAAGTCAGCAGAGAAGGGCCTCCCACTGCAAGTGACCTCTGTGAGGGGCTGCAAGCACCCAGTGACATCCCCAGGCTACTCAAGTGGCACCCTCTGCCCAAAAGGGCCCTACCAGCACAGCAATGCCCAGAGGCAGCTGCTGAAATAGAGGGGAGTGAACAGAGATCAAGGCAGCTGCTGAAGTGCAAAGCAGGAATGCTGGCTGCTGCTGGAGCAGTCTGTTTGCATGGGGCAGTGTGACCTTAGCAGCTCTCTGGCTTCAGAACAGAGCACCCCTAACCCAAAATGCCATGCTTGTGGCTGTGCTGCAGGAAAGCTGGCCTGTAACAGAGCAGTACTGCTGCTCCTCACAGCTCTTGGGAGATTAATTCACATTTCTAGGCTATCTTGCACAACTGAGTAAAGTTAAGAAAAGAAGTGGCAAAAGGATAAAAGTTTGTCTTTCCCATATACTCTATGCTCTCAAAGCAGAATAAGCTCCTCTTTCATGTTGACAATAGCAAGGTGTTCACTTTCTGCAGAGTTTGACAGGCATCCTACATGCATCTCCAAATATTTGTATGATTAAGGAAGGAACAACCCACACAACCACACAAACTACTCAGAGCATGGTACTCACTGAGCTTTGAGCAAGTCTTTTTCTCTCTTCTCCAGTTCAGCTCTGGCTTTATTTCTTTCTTCTTCTTCCATATCAAGCTTAGTTTCAAGAGCTTTTCTCTCCTCTTCAATCTTTGCTTGCATCTCTACCATCTTATCAGGGGAAACTTTCTTTTTGCCTTTGAAAGATATGGGGAAAACAAGTTAGTTCACTGAAAAGTAAAACAACCTCTGTATCACAGCATTTTTTCCAAGTTCAGATTCAATATTTGCAATTAACAAAAACTTCATTAGGTATCAGCTTCAAAATGGGCAAAGCTCAGTCCTTCAAATCCCATTTTAGCATTGGCCAGTTATCACCAGCTCCTACTGAGCAGCAATGCTGTGTAACTATCACTGGAACCTAATGCCCCCAAAATATAAAACATACAAAGAACACCTGGAGAAGGAACACTGCCTGAAGAGAAGCCCAATCTGGAAACCCTGATGTTCTAACAATGCAGATCAGGCCACAGGACCCACAGCTACACAAGCTCAGCTACCAAGAGTTACATACTCAAATTTCAGATTAGCATCTGCACCATTCCCCTCATTCACTGCCCTCCTTACAGGCTTACCCATTCCAAAGTGAGCATGTAGATATTTTTAAGAAAACACTACTATGGAAATAGAGAAATTCAGAACAGCCCTGTGAAAATCAGGCAACTAAAGAAACTTCTTGATGATATCTGGTCTATGTAACAGTGACTACCCACAGATTTGAAAGTACCAAGGTTGGCTCTGGCTCAATCAGCTGTGTCTTTGCAACAGAACTGCAGCAGCAGCACACCAGGTCCGTATCTTGCAGGGCTACAAAGGGAGTGGCCAGAGCAACTCACTGAACCTACTGACCTCAAGAATTGGCCCTAAACACCCCAAATTTGAAACAAAGTGTGAGGCTGCTGCTCCTGAAAGCCACTCTGCAAGTCTTGAGCCAACTTTCATTGCAATCCCAGGAGTGCCTAAGGCAGGTGAACATAGAGATCCTGGGGGGTTATGTGGAATAAGAATGCATTTCCTCAAATCCACAATACCTAAATATCCATTTATTCACAAGTGAATTCACAATTTTCTTGCTTTTCTAGACATGAAAAAACCCCACTCTGTAGAATCCAGCTGTACTTGAAACTAGCAGGAGCCACTGACTGCCACCTGACTGCTTTCCATGGTGACATAATGCACAGTCAGAACACAGTCAAGGAAGCTGTTCAGTAAAAGGCTTCTCCAGTCTTCAAAATACCCAGCTTCATTTATATACATGTATTTTGTTTATAATCATATACACATTATACACAAACACTCCAGCAAAGTGTCCTGCATATGTAAACATGCATGAACATATTTTCACATCTGCACATTCAGTTCTTCATGTGCACAAGAGCTTTAATTAATTTTGTTGCAAGGCAAGGACTTCACCACTACAGGACCAAAACTACAGCAAAAATCTTCATTGCCATCTGCTCCACTTCAGAATCAGATAATAAGCACTTCTTTCTGGGCTTGTGGTGCAAAAATCTCTCACTAATTAGCCTTTAAGTAAGAAGCTTTCTGGAAGTGCTATACAGAGCCCATCATATGAGATAAGCCAGATAAAGGCTTCTTACTACTAGGACACAGACCTATATATTCTCAGTTTAAGAGAAAAAGGTGAAGTGAAGCAAGTTGTAAGATCATTTTACAAGCTTTGCAAATGTAAGGAGGTGAAAATCAATTACACCAACCTGCTTGATCTTGCGTTAAGAGGAAGTAGAAAGCAAATCGCAGAGAGGCAGCAAACACATGAAAAGAGGAGGAGAGAAAATGTTACTGCTTTGATCATTTTGGACAAAGATCAGCAGCACCAGAACAAACAACAAATTTCATATTCACGTTTCTAAGGTAGAAAATATGAGAATCATAACTAAAAACTCTTCTATTAGAGCAAACACTAATGCATCATGTTATGCTAAAGCAGAGAATGTGTCTGTGCTTCAGAGTGCTTTGCAAATCCAGGATATTCTTCAGCTCACTCTTGCATTCTTCTGCCCATTCAATGCAATGCTGGATCTAAACACAACATTAGGAGCCAGCTGCAAGGATCATGACCTAAGAAACAGTTAAAAGGGGTGGATTTCTCCTTCAATTAACTTAATGCTCCCCACACTCAAGAGAGCCAATTCTATTATATTACCTGTAAAATATTGGCATCCAGAATACATGTTCTAAGTTTTAACCAAGATTTCCAAGCCAATTCTTTGCAAGATACAAGACAGTTGCACACAGGGAGTCTCAACACAAGATTTGTCCATGTAATTATACAGGGGATTAGTAGGTTAATTTGCAGTAACTGGTGCTTCCATAGAGGTATAGAGCCACTTTTGGTTATTCAAGCAAGTGCAACAAAAAAGGCAGGATAGGAAAGGGATAATGAAAGACACCACATGCAGGAGGGTCACACTAGAGGACAGTTAATATCCCAAACCACAAAAAGCTACACTTATCCCAAATGCCAAAAGCCCAGCACAACTTCCCCTGCAGAGCTGTCTCCACAGCTGCAGGAGATGGGCTCACGCACCTGCTGACACATCAGCAGTTTGCTATTAACTGTCCTCATCCAAATAAAACAGGTTCCAAGCAAGCTTTAAAGGAGCAGGATTGAAGCAATTGGAATTCCCAGGCTACAGTCATAGGATCCACCAAGGGTCTCCCCTGGGCTGTGTTCCCTCTAACCCTGCCACCACCCTTCTCTGAGCTGAGGCTCTCCACTAACAGAGTAAAAGTGAGTGAACTACACAGCAATACTTTCCAGGGTCTCTCCACACAGGGAGGAGAGTGGAGTGCTTCTGTCCAGGATAAAAACACCAGGTGAAGTCCCCAAAAGCCAAGTCCCAAGATGTGATTTGTTTCCTCAATTCTCACTGACTATGGGTTTTTACAGGCACAGTGACCTCTCTGCCCAGGAGCAGCCCAGACTTTCCTTACTACTAGACCAAAATCTGGATCTCCTGTTCCTCTGAACTAAGTCCCACAGAGATCAAGAGCTTAGAATTGTGGGGCACTTAAACCCCAACCACCAAGGATATTTTTTAAAGTATCTGCAAAAATAAAGCAAATCAACCAAGCATTGACACATTTTCTTTGCCAGTATAAGCCTCATGATTGACTGTTCTCCAACACTAATTTTGAGAAGGCAGAGTCCAATGTAATATAGAATACATACCTAGCAGTCCTTTTTATGAATTCATATTGTAGCAAATCCCATAAAAATTTAACTCAGATTTTTCCCCCGTATTTTAAAAGGTGCATTTAACACAAGCTGCAAACTGGATTTTTTTAACCAGTTATTTCTCAATTTATTTAACCTGTTATTTCTCAATTACCTTTAAATCTTGCTCAAGCAGCCTACTTTTGTTTCCCATTCTCTCTCATATCTATCTAACAATGTGCACGTTGAGTAACTGTTTCAAGCATGGAAGCAGCAAAGGAAAGGCATGCTTTAGCAGAGTTACAGCTTGAGGTTTATCTTTCCAACAGACAAAGCAGGGAAGAGTGCAACATTGCAAAATGGAGTGTGCAGATTATGGAAAGGCCAAAGCTTAAAGGACTTAAGAGCTCCCACTCACTAGTGAAGGACTTATCCAGAGGTTTCTCTATGACAGAGCATGTGGAGTCTGAACTACTGCTGCTGCTACTGCCTGGAAAACAGAAATGCGTCCCACAGAAAAACCCAGAGAGGAAGAAACATGCAGATGGGAAGTTAGTTCTAAAGGAAAGAAACCCAGAAGAGCCAGCAACCTAGTTCAAAAAAGCACAGGTTCCCATTAGGAAGCACTTGCTAGGATCCCTCCCAGACTCAGCTTGCAAAGCCACCATTTCCCAGCACAAAACTGCATGCTCAGAAAGACATTTCAGTTAAAACTCATCCTAATCAGACTACAGCTTAAAACATGCCAAGGCAGCTTCCTTTTCAAGCAACAACAGCAGAGAACACCAGATCATAGTGGAGAAGGCTGTGGATATCTGCCATAGCAGAGGATTCAGCGACCATGAATCCTTTCCAGTCTTACACACATGGCAATGTGCACTTCTCACTCTGGAAGGCAGAATCAGCTTACACAGGGACAGTCAGTGTGCACTCCTGTGAAGCAGCTCCCTCAGGGAACTTAACTAGAGTAACTTGTCTGGGAGTTGAATAAGTCAGTTATTCACCCTCTGCTCCTTCCAAGCAGCACTGTGAAGGTGGTCTCCTCTTGGGAGGAGATTTGGGCAGGACATTTGGAGACAGTAGTCAAGCTTTCCACTTCTAGAAATAACCAAAAGGTGAAAAATGAACTTGTTACAGCTATCACCAAAGGCACGGCAAAAGTAATTTATGCCTACTTGGACAGACACCAAAATGAACAGTACACCTCAAAGCAGGAATGCTTTAATAGGAATTTTTTTCAACAGATGTGGGTGCTTCAGGACTGGAAGGCAGTCTGAATGTCAAAATAAGTTTAGCTGAGAAGCTGGAAGTTGGGATGTAGCACTGGGTTTGATTTCTCTACTATCCATGAGGAATTACCAGCAGGGTTCTAGGAGAAAAGCAAGCTCCCAAGAAGCCACAGCATCCCATGGTACAGTGACCTGCAGCTCCAGGTTCAGCAACATTCCCTGGAGTTTAGATTATACACAGCAGTTTAACACGGATGTGGGACAAAGGAAACTCCACCATGGGATTTTCAGACTGCTCCCAAAAAAAGCATGTGCAGCTCCATTAAGCTTTTCAGCCAGCACAAAGACACCCAAAGGTCAAGTTTTCCCTCTATCAACATAAAACAGGACACCAGTAGAGTCAATTACTGAAGATCTGTAAGACAGATGAATCCTTTGCCTAAACCACAGCCAGAATTCCCCTCCAATCATACCCATGGCTATAAAAACCACACCTGCCTACAAATGATCTTTGGTGTCTTCTTCCTCCCACCTCTGTAAGCAGGGGAAGTTCCACACCACCACAAGCCATACGCAGCCACCTTGCGGCACCCGGGGAGCCACCACAGAGATGATGTCAGGACAAGCACAGCTACCCAAGGGGAAGCAGGAACTACACAACAGCTAACCCGAGTGGAAGCAGGAACTACACAGCTCTGGAGCTGTCCCTCTGACACACGGCACCAAAGGCCTTGGTTTCTAAGAGAGGCATGATAATTGCAGCGGCATAGGGCATCTCACAACTGCTCTAGTCCCTGCCTGGCTCTGGCTACACTTCCTACAGCAGCCTGTGGGTAAGAGGACACTGGTGGCACTGACAGGAATCTCTGCTGCCTTACCCCGCCGTTTCTTCCGCTTCTCCTCTCCAATCTCCCCATCGTCATCCTCCTCCTCAGAATCGCTGGTTTCAGAGCCAGAGATCTCTTCCCCTAGAAGAAGAGAGTGGGTTTTTATCAAAAGCTTTCCTTCACCTCATAGCAGCTTGTTATTCTGACAGCAGCATTTACCCAAACACATTAGTGCCTGACATCAGCTCATGAGTACTTGCAGAAGTCCTTAACTGTTGCTTGTCATGGCTCAGGAAACTTCAGGACAATCAAGATAAGCAACTGAATGCTGTGATGTCAGTGTGAATGTATAAAGTTCAAGAGACCAGTTTTTATGGAAAATAGAGCATCTTTGCACAGCTGAAGCTATGAAGTTTTCCTAGCAGGATCCTACCATACCTTCTCTTCCACCTTACACTTCCATCTCAGAGGAAATAAAAAGAAAGAAGCATTACTGACCAATTCGCACTTCTCCTGAATGGGGCAGACAACAAACAGCAAATCACACTGGAGTTACTGCTACGGCTGTTCTGTGAGTACCTCTGGAGAGAGATGTTGTGACATCTGGTCACTGTTTAGCAAGCATCCCTCTAGCAGGGTCACTCCATATTGATGGACTAATAAGAGACATGAGGCTATGAAGTTACATGTCTTAAAGAGGCTTCTTGTTGCTCTACAGTGTTTAGAAACCCAGCTCCAGCTCCACAAATTTAGTTCAATTTTCCTTTGATAAATGCATTCCTCCTCCCCAATCAGAGAAGTGTGATCTGTTGTTACAGTTCAGTTTAATTCTCTATACCATGTCAGTTGTGCTTGCTAGGGAAACCCAGGAAAACCTGGGCACACTGATCCCAGCCCAAAGGCCCCACTCACCCTAGTGCCAAGTGCCACCTAGTGGGAAAGCTGGACCCCCACAAGCAGCCTTAGACACCTCCCCTGGCATCCAGCAGGGCAAACAAAACCAGAACAGCGACCTGCACCAGCAGCCAACCTCATCTGATACATATTCAAGTAGCAAAGAATGTTCCCATTCAAACAGAACAAGCATAGTGCAGAGAGGAACACAAGGGGGAAGGACAGTCTCACCTTCTTCCAGTTTTTTCTTAAGCTCTTCAATTTCCTTTTGGAACTGGCGAAGCATAGCATCCTTGGGATCCTCATTAATCCTGGCCTTGTTCTTTATGTTCTTGGCTCTGTTTGCATACCTGAGAGTGCTGATGGTCTCATCGTAGTTGTAGTCTGCTGGTCCAATGTTTGCACACTGCAACACGTGGATGACAGTGTCAGAGCCCAGCACAAGGCACTGCAGGAACCCACTCCCAGCTCTGACAGTCTCACACTGCTACTCTTATCCAAGCTTTCCTGCTGCTTCTACACTGAAGCCACTTTTGACTACACAGGTTCTGTTTGATCTCATGCATCTATGTACCCATGTGCTGTGTTTAGAACCTCACCATACAGAGGCAAAGAGAAAAGATAGAAAGAGATGCACACAGAAGGTTCTCTAAGTTGCAAACAGCTTAGGATTAGTGAGGTAAATGTCAGGCTGTTCAAGTCACTATGCTATCCCTGCAAAAATGCAGCCCCATAGCTGGAAGTGGAAAGGGCATCTCTTGGCTCACCATCATGGTTTTGGAGTTGCCCCCCAGGGAGTCCTGCAGCAGACGGGTGAGTTTGGAGTTACGGTAGGGCACATGGGTGCTCTTGCCATCCACCAGGGCAGAGATGACATTGCCCAGCGTGGAGAGGGAGAGGTTGATCTTAGTGGCTTCCTTCAGTCTCTGCCCTGTGGCTCCAGTTTTTGTCTGTCTTTCAGAACCCTGCAAAGGGAACATGAAGCAGGAGTTAAAACAGAACCCCTAATACATCTCCCTCCAAACAGGATCAGCTACACGTGAAACCTTGCTAGCAGCCATGTCACTAACCACTTCATCCATTATTAGAGAACCTGGCTAAGTATCACAGACCTTGTTAAAGAGACAAGGCAAACAAGTCTTTAATAGAAGCCTTCAGTGCCAGCAAATTCTGGACTGCTTAAAGCAATGCAGCTGGGAAAATGCTTTCTCCTCCCCATGAACAAAAATGTTATGAGAAGTCAGTCAGTGGTTAAAAGGCATCCCAGCTGGAGCTGCCAACTGCCATCTACAGCCCTTCCTATCAGCAGAGAAAGAGCAAATAGCAACACTGCAATTATTTTGAAGAGTTTCATAGAGCATCCTATATACACATAATGTAAATAAGTTAAAATGCATTTAAATAAGTTGAATGCCTTTAGTCTCACTTTTTTTGCATCCTCCCCAAGGAAAGGTACCTCAGTGTAAATCTTGGGCTAAAGCCATGTTTTACCAGCACAATTACATTGGGTCAAAGTGTGACACTGAGATAAGGAACCTGCAAGTGATGAACAACATGGTCACAACCCTCAGGAAAAACCTCCACAATCCAAAACAAATGTCTTGCCAAAGAGCTGGCTGGTCCTACTCACAGCAAGGTCAACGAGGTGCAGCTTGCCCATGCGCACGTGCATGTTGCCATCCACGCCCTTCTCGCTGCACTCGATGGTGATCGTGAAGATGGCGTGCGAGCGAGAGCTGTGCTCATTCATGTTTGTGGCACCAACAGAACCTTTCAACAGAGAAAAAACCAGTGATGTCTTCAGAGTTAATCACATCTTCTTCTAACTCTTCCTGCTCTCTGAGGAGACTCATTCCCACCTCTTTACCCAACCCTGTAATTCAGAAGACGGCAGAGGGATGCTCAGGCTCAGCAGCAAAGTCTGTTCTTGGGCACTGAAGTTGCAGTGCACTTCCAGCCTGGACTAAAAGGTCCTGCAGCCTGCTACAGCTCTAAGCCAACCACAGACTCCCAAGACCAGCAACTCTCCTCATCTGTTTAAAGATCAATAGATTAAGGGGTTCATAGCAAATCCCTGAAAACAGCTGTATTTTGGGAAATAAGAACACAGCAATCCATGCCAAGGGGAACAGGAATCAGAACTTTAGGTCATTAAATAATTTGAGCTTAACTAAGAAGTGTTCCAGCACATAAATTACCTCCCACTTGCAGCACAGGGCTGATGTTCATCATGATCAGAACTGAAGTGGAAGAAGGACCAAGAGATACACAAGCAGTTCTGACAACACTGACTGCCCTCATTGCATCCTCCCTTTGCTGATCCACACTGGCACTGGCCAATGTGGGAAGCACAGCCTTCTTTTCCTGGCCCTGCACTAAAGGAGCTTGGGAAGAGATACCCTTTGTGCTCTGTTCAGCCAAACACTCTTCCCAACAACAGGACTAGGACCTCCTACTGTGGTCTGGCAACCAGACCTTTACTCTGCCTGAGCTATAAACCTGCCCACAGCAAGGCTACGTACGGTTCTTGTGGCCCAGAGTCATGATTCTGTCCATATCATCTGCATTGTTTACAACATAAGCTGAAAGGTCTTTGATATAAACTCCCACATCAGGTCTCTCTTTCACCTAAGGGAGAAACAGTTCAGACTGAGCATCCCTAGGAGATCCCCCACAGCAATTCTAGAGAGACTGTAACAGTAGAATGGTTTACTCCTCCATTTTCTGGCTTGCATATAAAACACTCCACTCAGAGCAGACAAGGAATAAAGACTCATGCATGATAATATGCTACAGTTTTCCTCTGTAAAGACAGGATTTAAATCCCAGTCCCCAATTCTCAGGACTGCTGAGGGGTCTTTGGGGTAGAACTGCAGGTATGAAACTGTTTCAGGTGGAACAGCCAATCTGTGCAACTGACCAAGTGGAAGAGATTTAAGGAAGCCAGCAGTGACACCCAGCTATTGCACTGCAAGGGAAAGAGAACTGCTGAGGAGCCCAACCTCCCACTTCCCTTCAAGTGCTTCTCTGAACTTGAAAACAGAATATTGCTCTGATTCAAAACAAACAGCACATTCAGAAGAGGAGGCTCACCTCTAACCTCTGTGTCTGGTCCTTTCCCAGCAGGTCCCGCACTTCCTCATTGTAAATTTCCAGGTAAGAGACACGAACTAAAAACCTGCAGATGAACAGCTGGGTAGTTCACTTAGCAAAACACTTGCAGAAGTCCCACAAACACAGTCACAGAATGCAGAGAAAACACTGAAATACCAACACAGTCCTGCTGTCCCTCAAGAACTGCCTAAGTGGCAGCCTTTCATCTTGGGAGAAGGACAATTTCTGTTGTCATTCTCAAGGTCAGGCTCCTGCTACACGTGGACTCACGTTAAAAAACAAAAACAAAAACAGAAGCAGTCAAGGGAAGGCATTTACCTTGTGTCCCCCTCTGCCTTGGCAATGTGGCCAAATATATGAGCAAAGGAATTGGGAATGATGCCTCTGAGCTCAGGAACTGCTCGGACCCCTTCCATGGTGAAGGTTTTGCCTGTTCCAGTCTGCCCATATGCAAAAATAGTACCTGAAGGACAAGATAAAAGAACAAACTTTAAGAAGTTGAGTCTTCTCTAAACTCTTAACTGCAGTTTTACTTCATCCCGTCTTAGCCTGATAGCACCAAACATCTCTATTTTCATGGAGTTAAAATTTTCCTCCCACTCCAGTAGCTACTGGAATACAAGGCTGGAGTAACAGAAATGCTGGGCAAACAGCACCTATCTGCTGCTTAATCCAGCCTGCAAGATGTCTAATAAAAAATCAGCTTGTTTTAGAAGTGCAGAGTGACTAAAGCATGGAGTGCTAGTACACTTCAGTTCCACTGGGTACTGAAATTGTACAGTGAGGAGCTGCTGAGAATCCTGATAATGACATAAGTGTATATCTTTTGCAAAGAGAGGATAAAGGATAACAACATGCAGCTAAATGACCTCAGAGGAGTCTCCTTCATCACCCATCTACCACACTTAATGACAGCAGCAGGAACAACCACGGAGCACTCAGAACAGCCAGTGCCTTCAGGCTATTTTAAGTTAGAGGCCACAACAGAAATGATCTCAGGCTACAGCCCTCAGAAGGTGAAACTCCCTTACACAAGATCAGCAGGAATGTTAATAAGGCAAAGAACAGGAGACAGGATGGGATCCTTCCCTTACAACAAGGGACTTACCATTGTATCCCTCTAGGACAGAATCAATAATTGGTCTCGCTGTTAAATTATAGACATCCAGCTGTTTACTGTCTGGTCCAAACACTGTGTCAAATGTGAATGTCTTAGGAGGCTCATTGGATGAGTCAGTTTTGTGGACAGTGATGGTTCCCCTCATCTCATCCACGTTCACTGCCATTTTGTAGCCCGTGGCCTTCTCCCGGTCATTGAGCGGCCGGCAGCGCACAACCACCTTGACATTGTCACAGCTCTCCGGCCTGTCCGGCTTCTCAGCCTTGTTAATCTGTAACCATTCAAACAAAAACACACAGCCTGTAACTCCAGTGTGAACACAGAATCACAGAAAGGTCTGGGGTGCAAGAAATCCAGTTCCACCCCCTGCCATGGGCAGAAACACCTTCCACTGGAGCAGGTTGCTCCAGCCTGGCCTTGAACACTTCCAGGGATGAGACAAGCACAGCTGCTCTGGACAGCCTGTGCCACAGCCTCACCACACTCACAGGGAAGAATCTCTTCCTAATAGCCAATAGGCCCTGCCATTTCCCACTACAAAACTACTGTGTGTTTAAGCACAAATACTCTCTTGAATCAGCTTGGGCAACTACATCTCCAGAGGATTATGAACTTGTGGACTTAAAACCAGGACCGGTTTATAATTAAAGCTGAGAGAATAACACACTTATTCAGGCAATGGGATCTTCTTTGGTTGGCCAACATAGAAACTGAATGAGTAAACCTTGCGCATTTCACATTCAACATCATCTAAGAATTTTTTTCAAGAATCAATTTCACCTTGTAATCTGCAAGAAGTTTGCTGGAATTCGGTGCAGTCATGACATTCTTTTTCAGTAACACCTACTATACACTCTCAAACCCCACAGAGCACAGAACCAGATACCAGGGAGTGCTGGCTGAAGGGAATTCATTCTAATTACAAACCTCAGTATACATGCTTAAGTTTAATCCTTTAGAATACCTGAATGTTGTATTATAAAAGCTCACATTCATTTTCTTTCATCTAGTTACCAAAACAAATTTCGAAGCACGGCTGATGAATGTAGTTAAGAGACACTCCCGTGGGCTAGAGGTGCTGCAGCTGAGCGTTGAACCGCTCCTAGAGCAGCTACACTGGCTGTCAAGCCGAAACAAACCCTTTCCAAGCGCCTCTCCCTGCAGCTGCCACCTGCCCCCATTCCTCTCAGGCCTCAGCAGCGGCTTTTGCGTCCTGCTGAAGCAGAGAGCGGCTCAGCCCCGCTTGGGCGGGGGAGGGACGGCACAGCCAAAACCGGGAGCGGGATGCGGGTGTCACCACGAGCCCCCGGGATACGGGACGGGACCCTCCGGGGCGGCCGGACCGCCGCTCCCCGCTGCCAAGGCGCCGCCGCCGCCCCTCATCACCCCCGGCCCGCTCGGCCTGACAGGCACCGCCCGCCCTGCGCCTCCCGCGCGCACATGGGCACGGAGCCGACGGGCTCTGCGAACCGCGGGCGCGGCGGGCAGCAGTGCGCAGTGCCCGGGCGGCCCCGGGGGCCGCACCCCGCGTCCCCCCCGCATCTCACCGGCATGGCGATGGCGATGGCGGCCGCGGCAGCCCGGGCCAGGCGGCAGCACCGCGGAACAATAACAGCACCGCGCCTGCGCGCCCCGCCCCGCGGCCGGCCCTCGCGCGCTGCGGCGGCCGCGCGGCCAACGGCGGGCGGGGGAGGCGGGGCCGAGAGGAACGCAACCAATGGCGGCGGCGGAGGGGCGGTGGGGGGCGGGGCGTCCCGTCGGCATGGGAACGGCGGGAGGGCGGGGCGAGCTGGGCACGGCCCGGGGCAACGGGGGCTGTGAGGGGCGACTAGGGCTCTCAACGGGGACAGCGGGTGCTCTGAGGGGTGACAGGGCTCACAGCGGGGACAGCGGGGGCTCTGAGGGGTGACAGGGCTCGCAACGGGGACAGCGCGGGGCTGTGAGGGGTGACAGGGCTCACAGCGGGGACGGCGCGGGGCTGTGAGGGGTGACAGGGCTCACAGCGGGGACAGCGGGGGCTCTGAGGGGTGACAGGGCTCGCAACGGGGACAGCGCGGGGCTGTGAGGGGTGACAGGGCTCACAGCGGGGCCCGACGGGCTCTGAGGAGCTGACGGGGCTCTGAGGGATCTCCAGCGGGTTTGACAGGGTTCCAGAGGCTCTGACAAGGCTCCAGTGCTCTGGAAGGGCTCCATGGGGTCTGAGGGGGCTCTGCGTCTCTGACAGGGCTGCAAGCCCCAGCCTGTTCTTCACACAAGGAGGAAAATCCATCTCCTCCTTTTCCTGACTGTAACATTTTGAATTGCTGGTGAAATAGAGGGACTGCAGAATAACTTAAATATAAACAAGCAGTACAGTCCAAGTGGCACATAAATCAGTTAGTCCTGTGCTAATGAAGCACATTCCCAAGTTATTTGTAATTTAGTGTAAAGTTTCACAGCGTACTTCTGGGATTGTTCACAGCCTCACCTGCTTCTCTCTCCTACTCCCAACATCACACTGTCGATGTGTCAATTGCTTAAAGGAATTAAATTAAATTATTCCAACAATCTGACCTTGTCCTTTCATAATCTATGTCCTTAAGAGTCAAAGACAATTTTACTCAACAGGAGAGGTCCAGGAATAGTTTCTCCAGTACCTGATGCCCTGAATTGCACTTGTCTCATTCCCCCTAGGTGTTCCTGCACACCCAAATCCCATTGGCAGGTCCCGGAGCATTGCTCCAGCCCCACTCCTTCCCTCTTTGCCTTTGCTGTGGACCACCAGGACCCTGGGCAAGGCCAGGAATCTCCAGCACCAGGCACAGACACAAACCAAGGGCTGTACCTGGGCTGTGCTGTATTTTTGCCAGAGGGAGGATCATTCTGCATTTCTGCATTCCTGCAGGAGCAGGAATATGGATAGAGCTGATCTGAACCTGGCAGACCTCCCCCACCAAACTGACCAGTGTGTCACAGGGCGGGCACACACCGGTAATGACAGCACAGGGCCATTCCCTCTGCCCCAGGTGTGTGCAATCAGCTGAGTCAGGAAATTGAGGACCAGCTATTCAGTTATGTCTCTTTGTGTGACACTGCCGCGTGTTACTCAGAGCTGTGCTGCACGCACAGGTTCGTGGACTATAATTTAGCACCAGAAAATGTATAGCCCAAGGGGCTGGTGAGAGAGCAGAGTCATGTGTAGGCAGGCAAAGCTGCGGAACGAGAAAAGGTTTAACATAAAATATTGGAACCAGCCTCCTGCAGAAAACGCTGCAGAAGGAAAACAAAGGGGTCCAGGATCTGAGGGGGAAGCTGAGAGTGGCTTTAAGACACGGAGAGATCCTGGGTGGAAGAAAACGTGGGGTGAAAACACGGATGCTGGCAGAGAGGTCTAGCCCTGGGAGGGGACAAGAGTGCCTACAAAAACACAGAGAAAAGGTACTTCCTGTGACTGGAAGGAAAATAGGTCCTGGCAGGTGCTGGGATTGCGTGGATCCAGCAAATGTGTGTTTGGAGAGGGCCAAGTCGAAGAGAAGAGACAGCACATCTGTCAAGGCAATAACCAGTGCCAGAGAAGGGGGCAAGCGGATTTGGAGGCTGTGCTGAAGGTTACAGTGTTTATCACCGAGGCAGAATTTCACCGGGATCCCGGGAGCGCTTTGCCTGGCACACGTATCTCCGTGCAGGTAGGACAGACCCACACGGGCCGAGGCAGCGCTCACCTGGGTGGTGCCACACGGACCCCGAGGGACCCCTGGGTGTTCCAGCAGGGCCGTGCCCTGGGGATCGGCCTCCGAAGCTCCGGGGAAGGCGCCCCGCAGCCTGGGGCTGCTCCCGGCAGGGATCGCCTCGCTCTCCTCCCGCCCGGGCCGGTCCCGCCGCGGAGCCGCGCCGAGCTCCCGGTACCCCGGCCAGGGACGGGTCCCATCGCCCCCCGGGGCGCTCTGCAGGGCTGCAGGGGTTCTCTGAGCCATGCCAGTGCCCCGTGCCCGGTACCCGGTACCCCGGCCAGGGACGGGTCCCATCGCCCCCCGGGGCGCTCTGCAGGGCTGCAGGGGTTCTCTGAGCCATGCCAGTGCCCCGTGCCCGGTACCCGGTACCCCGGCCAGGGACGGGTCCCATCGCCCCCCGGCCGCTCTGCAGGGCTGCAGGGGTTCTCTGAGCGCCGGCCGTGCGGGAGCTGCTCGGTGCCGTTCTCAAGGACAGTCGAAACCAGCCAGAGGGCGAGATTGTAATTATTATTGTTTCCCCCCAGCTACACGAGAGTAAACTTCTCCGTGCATCAAAGCCGTCAGATAAATCATTGCCAGCTCTCCCTCTGTGAAGTGGTCCGGCTTTGGATGCTCTGGCTGACATCCAGTGGCAGCCGAAGTTAGTCATAGGTGGTTCCTGCTTTCAGGGAAACGTCACAGAGCTCCAGCTTTAGAAATGTAGAGCAGTTTCCAGAGGATTCATGTCACTTTGGGTTTTTTAATGGAAACTGCAGAGATAATGGTGTGAGCTTCCAGAAAAAAACTGTGAGGAAGCCCACATTCACCATTCCTTGGAAAGAAAAGTAAGAATTTTATATCTAGTAACATCTCGTTTCTGTTGTTAAAGAGACACCAAAATGTAAGCCTTGAAATAGTTTCAGGCTGGATGTTCTCATTCACTTGGTACTGATATGATTCAGAGATGTTTATTTCCTGTAAATATTCCCCTTAGTCTGGAAAGGGGAATTTCCAAAGTGGTATCTCCAAATATTAAATTGCTCTGAGGGAAAACTTAATTGGGAATTCATAAACTTCCTAAAAACAGTCATCTTTGACCCTTTGTATAGAAACCATAAGCCTCTATTTGCCAGAAACCTGAAATCAGGTGATAACAGGTTGCAGAGTAATAGCTCAGCAAATGGAGAGCCAAATGTGTGAAACAGGATAAATGGAGTAGCCTGGACTGCTTGACCCAAGGTTTCTGTAGCCATTGCACAGCCCAGCAGTGAGGAAGCTGGGCTGTATTGTTGTTCAGCCATCTGACATGTTTTCTTTCATCAGGAACTTCCAGGGGAAATATGCATATCAGGATTGCTCTGTCTGCAAACAAACGAGTCCTGTGGCTGCTCCTCAGTTCTCAGCACTGGAAAGGCATCAAAAGAGGAAATCATCCTTAGCACAAAGAGCTGGGATGTTTCATAATTTTGTTTGGTTTTGTCAGTGGCTCCCATCAGGAAACTGGTTCAAACCGCTGCCATGAAGTGTCCTGGACATATAGAGAGCTCATGACTTGCCTTTTTTACTGGAAAATGCCTTAGCCAGAGAGGCCAACATTTGGAAAGTGCCAGTTTTCCAGAATCTCACTGTGAAGGTATCCTCCCCTGTCCTCTTTGGAATTCCCTAAAGGACCCTGCAAAGATGCAGTGCTGATCATGCCATCTGATTCACCTGAATGCAAAAGTCATCCCTCATGGGCTAGGCTTAAGGAATGGAGGGGCAGGAGGGTCTGTATTTATCCCATTTTATATTTTATTGATGCCTTATATAAAGCAGGGGCTTTGCATTTTGCTCTAGCTCAGTCAGAAAAGTAGTTTTGGGAAATGTGAAATAGTTTGGGATAATGTGGTAGAGCAGTTAAGAGCAGCCAATTGATGGTAAACCCATAAATTTGACATATTAATTGTGTTCAGCACTGTCTGTGAATTTCATCTGTTAAGGTGGGAGAAAATGGAATTCACAGAGGCCTAACAGAAACCCAGCCCCATTCCAAGCTGCCTTAGGAAGCTACAAGACTCCATGGGCTCTGTGAACAATGCAAAACAGCTTTGCTTGCCTGCTTCTGTAAGTGCAGCAGAACCATGGAAGAATGCACAGAAATGCCTTAACAGCTTTGTCTCTTCTTTGCAATAGTTTAGAAAGGTTACATTATCTAGTATTTTTACTACCAAATTAAGCAAAATAGTGAAACAGATAATGGGATGAATAATATTAAACAAGTTGGTGTTTAATTTTGTCTGTTGCGTGTAGCTGCTTGGCCTTTTTACTTCTCCAATGCTCAGGTGTGTTCCATGGCTCTGGGTGCTGTTCTCACAGAAGCCACAGTCTTCTCTTTCACCTGAATGCAGCTTCAAATAAGATATAAGAAAAATCTCAGTACATTTTGCCATGTACCTTTGGGGAGTCACAAACCTGGCTCTGGTCCCAACACCCAGCAAATCCAAGGGCTGTTAAAACTCTTGCAGATTAAATCAAAACCTACTCCTGACTCCAGTTTCTCTGTTGAGGCTGGTGAGTGGAACATGTGCTTTAAACTGCTCCAAAACGTGCCCTTGCCCTCCCTCTGTGGACACAGCTGACAACTTCCTTAATTTCAAGCCTCCAACCATCTAAAATGCTAATTAGACCACTTAAAAGGATTTGAGTTTTCCTTTGGAGATATGTTAACAAAATCATCAAAGCACTAACTGTATTTTTCTTCTAACTTTTCCTTCCCCTCAGGGCACAGATCTCTCTCTGCCAGGTTACAAAAAAGCAGTTCTCTGGATTCCAGAAATCAGCTCCCAGTGCCAGTTTTACCCATAAACGTTTCCTTAGCCACCAGCATCTTCAACAGCCTGTTGGCATCAGTAAAGGTAAAGATCTCTGTGAGCTTTTCCCTGGCTAGATTACTGACTGGGAATGTAAAGGAGCATGTAATCAGTTTATACACAAAGCAGGGATGATGTTCAGCAGCAGATTTAGGGAGCAGTCAGGGTCATTGCTGGGGAAGGCCATTAAGCAAATATATATATACACACATGTATGAACTGGAGTGTTTGATGAGGTTCCACTGACCTCATTAGAATTGTTTGTGTGAACTCAGTCCAGCTGCTGTGGTAAGTACAAAGAACTCATCTGGTTTTCTCTGCTAAACAGAAATCATTCGCATTATCACTTTTAATATTCTGGTTTTTAGACTACTATTTTTAATTAAACTGTGGGGCTGAGCTTTTCTGCCACTGAAGCTACACCAAAGGTAGGAGTTGGGCTGAGCCTTGCAGTTCCCCATTCTATTTAGGTTGATACTGGCATATAAAATCACAGAATCATTTAGGTTGGAAAAGGTCTCCAACATCAAGTCCAACATGTGAGTGATCACCACCCTATCAACTAAACCGTAGTACTAAGTGCCATATCTAGTTTCTTGAACACCCCCAGGGATGCTGACTCTCCCACCTCCCTGAACAGCCTGTTCCAATATTTAATAACCCTTTCCATGAAGAAACACTTCCTGAAGTCCAATCTGAACCAGTATCTGAAGGTGAGGAGCAACATTGCAGTGTAAATATTGTGACATTGCAGAGTCTAAAAGTTGTGAGAGACATGAATAAAAATGGCACCTATAAGAGGATTTATTCTGCTTCATTTTGAATTTCCTTCTTCCATTTCCAGCTTCTGTAGCTAAACTAATTCAGAAGCAACTGTAACTTAAATGAAAGTTTGAAATTTGTGTATGTATCATAGATTGACAATTATTTCTCCCAAGACTCCTATCTTCTTTACTCAGTGTTTTCTTCTTCTCCCTTCAGGCCCAATTAAAATATCTGCAGTGCATTGCAATTTCCTGCCTTGTCCTTGCAGCAGAAACCAATGAAGATGAGGTCTGTATGTTTCATTTTAAACACACTAAAAGTTGTTCATGTTTCCAGATCTTTCATCAACTTGGACATAATCAAGGAGTGCTAATTTGTTTACTCTAAGTAGTCCTAAAGAGGTGAGAGTAGCATTTTCAGTTCTGTTTCATTGTTGCTCCAAAGAATTGTGACCTTTATGGATGACTTGTTTTTGTTTATGTCATGGATGTGTTTCTGTCCTGTCCCCAAACCCCTCTCCTCTTTTCAGAATCTGTGACTCACAGTAGAGCTTAATCTGAGGGGACAGTCAAGATGCCCATCAGAATGTAATTCCCATTCCTCCTGGGAGGGCACAGCAGGTGTGACAGAACAGAGGCTCTTCAGAGGAAGCCTTCAATAGATGAGTTTGCTTGGAGCCAAAACTGGTTTCTGAACCCAGTGAGGAATTGACTCATGTCTGCACCTCAAGATGAGAAAATAAAGTCAGCAGCCAGTGAGAAATTACACAGGATAGCTCTCATGGCAAATAGACTTCTGCAGGCATTTACAAGCATTAGCTAAAAGCATTTCAGATTGCAGTCCTGCTCCTTTCTTCCTTCTGCTTTGCAAAAGAAGAGGAAAGGCAGGAGCTGGAGTCAGGCATACACATCTCTTCAAACAGCCACTGTGGCAGTGAAATGTTCTTCACAGCCTTCCTTAGGTGGTGTTACACTGAGGTTATTGTTCTTTTCCTCTCAGCTACAAAGAATAAACTGTGTCAATGACCACAGGAAACAAGACAACCACAAGGCCTTGTAAAACAATCTGATAGGAAGCCTCCTCAGAGCAAAACCAGTGGTAGCAGGGAAGGTGCATCACTGCTGCCACACTGGGGAGGCCCCTGGCATCATCCTTGGTGTGAGCTGGGTCAGCAGCTGCCCTGGGCTGAGCAGGGACCACCCTTCATTTAGGATGGGAGGTACCTAGGATGGGATCTCCTGAATGAGCATTCTGCTTAACACAAACTTGTGTAAACTTGTCAGATCCCTTCACAATACAGAGAAGCACACAGAGCACTGTATAGGACGTTGGTTTCTTTATTTTTTTTTAATTTTTAAAAATTTTTTTACAGGTAATACCATCAGTGCAGACGCTAGCAGTGCAGAGCAGATGTAAACACTCTCCAGCCGAGATCTTGAGAATGGAAAGAATTATACTGGATAAGCTTCAGTGGGATCTTTACACAGAAACACCAATGGATTTCTTAAACATTGTAAGCACTATGTTTTGCAATGTTTTTTCTTTAAAGAAACAACTCCTTATCAAATAAGACTAAAAAACACGGATGCACACACACACACCCACCCACACATCCTTCCCAAGATTCTTGGCAAACTACCTATTCCTACCTATCTTCAAGCCTTTTAAAGAATATTACAGTAATAATATTTTTAAAATTTTTTAAAATTTTCTACTATTTAAAACCTTCTATTTTGCTCAAAAAAATTTACTCTTGTCTTTATAGGAGAACTGAAAGGACATTAAAAAGATTCTCATAATGCACTATATGCCTTCTTTATTTTTTTTTAAATACAAGCTGCAAAAATATTTCTAACTATTTCCCTTCTCTTAATACTGTACATACAAAGCTGTCAGAGTTTTGCTACATTTCCCACATAGGTTTTTTCTTTAACCATTTTCCTTTTCATCCCACTAATTATTCATTTATGCAATGAGACTACCCTGGTCTGGCACTTAGTTCACATTGCAGTTACTAAACATTTAATAGAAACAATGAATTGTCTTCAAGAAACGATCATGTACTAGTAAGGCAAAATTCATGTGATATGAACATATCCTGGATCCCTATTTTAAAATTATGTGCAAATATTAAGCCATTTTAGGCTGCTGATTGTGAAAACTGCCTTTCGTAGGTGCTTGTTTCCTTGGTGAATTCAGAGTTCAGTATTACTGGTTTTACTGGATTTGGAGCCGCTGTCCTGAACTGAATCTCCTAGACAGCAATCTGAATAATGTAGAAACCTCAGAAATTGTTAGGAAACATAGACCTTGTACATTCATTATCACCTCAGAAAAACAGTTCAATGATTGGCAAGTACGAACACAAAACACAAAAAAAAGGTGGGGGAAGCCTTCAGGTTTCCTGATATGAGATGAAATTCATCTGTACTTCAGGGTGATGACATGAAAACATATAAACTTCACTAACCTCTGCTTTTCTTTCCATATATATATATGTGTGTATATATATATATGTACACTTTGTCTTCTCTGCAGTTCCATGCCATGGTGATGTCCAGCTGGCCCCATCTCCCACCCAGACTGCCTCAGAGGAATCCTTCCCTCCACGTTGCACTCTTGACCAAGCAGCTGCAGCACTGTATGGCCTGCCACCAACTTGTGCAGTTTAAGGGCTCCACGTTGGTTTTGGTGATCATCACCTTGGAGCTGGAGAGGCAGACTCCTGGTTGGTTTGTTGTTACTACTGATCTGCTAAAAAAAGCACAGGTAGGAAGCAAAATGGCCTTTGGTCACAAATCCTGAAGGCAGGACATGATAAAGAATAAAGCCATGTGTATTTACAGCCAGTATTGCACTTCAGCAGCTCCTGAGACTTGTGTTCCTGTCCTGCCTTGCTGCAGACCTTGCTGGTGCTAACAAAAGGGAACAAAAGTGCAGTTCAGGGGTGGGACTGGGGAGAGGGACATCGCTTTGGCAGGGTAGGGAGGGTTCCAAATTCTTGGCCACAGATAGCTGCCTGCATCCTGAGCCAGGAGAAATTCTCTCATGATGGGAGAGTCTGAGAGTACCTAGAAATCTGCCCAGTTTCCTCAGCCTCCCTCTGAACACTGAGAAAACTTTTTAGTATAGTCACGTAGCTCTAAAAATATAACCAGTTTGACTTGTAATGATTCAAGACAAGCTGTATTTATTTTTCTTTTTTTTTAAAGCTTTTCCCCAGTTTCATAAAACACATTCCTTTTAAGAAAGCACACCTAGAAGGGTAAAGACCCAGGCTGTCAGCTTGCCATCCACCCATTTTAAAGTCTTGAATTTGTCTGAAATAACCTGGCCTCCTGCTGTCCCTCCTGCCTGCTGTTTCCTGCAAAGAGGAAGCAATTGCCCACGTTCTGTGTAGTAGAAGGGGTAATCATAGTTATAGGAGTAGTTCTCAGGAGCTCCTGGATAAGTGTTTTCCCTCAGGATCAACAGCACATTGCTGAGGCATGCAGCCTGTCCCTGCCCTCCCCCTGATTACAAAGTGACAGGAGCAGTGGCCAGACAAGAGAGTCACATATCCAGAACTTAAAATAAATCTACATATTTCTTTACAGGTGAACAGCACTGAATTAATGCACTGCCAAGAGCTTGTGGATCTGGAGTTAATGAGCTTGCAGGTACCCAATGCTGTTAATATTTTCTATCCCATCAGCCAAGCTGAGCAGGGCCATCCCAAGGCAAGGCTACCCTGCCAGCCCCTTCTGAATGGCAGAGTTCCCAACAAGGGAGGCTGAGGGTTGCTGTAGCCAGCCTGTTTCAGCCCCTTTCACACCTACTACAGCCCAAATTCCTGATCAAACCCCTGAGACTGAAGAATGCTGAGATGGATTCACTCCTGCACAGTGAGGATGAGGAGGTGAGTGCTGGGAGGATGAACACAGGAGGATCCTGCCCTCAACTGAGCTGCTCCTGTCCTCCCTTACAGCCACCCAGAAAGGATTTATGGAGAATTACTGCCTTGGAAGCAGCACCTGCAGAACCAGCAGGTCCCAGCAAACAGAACAGCCAGAACAATAGGGCAAAAGTGTCACTGTGCTTCTCAGAGGACAAAGACGTTTGGTATTATCAGTCTGTTTTTATGTTCTCCCTAAGCAATATGTGCTACCCCTCACTTTTAAGATTATGTAGACAGAAAGCTGGGGAGAGGAGGGACTTGGTCACAGTCCTGCAGCCCAGGGTTCCAGTTGGCAGGCAGCTACAAACTTCATGGAGAACCAAATGCCTCAGAGTTTATTTTTAAAATAGCCATGATGAAGTTTGACAGATTGAGCCTTTCATCCAGCTCATGCCATTGTTCTCTCATTAGAGCTGATCTGGCTCTGCCCATGGGAGCTGAACAGGAGCTGCTGCTGTCGAGGAATGGGCAGCCCCCACTGCTGCCTCTGCAAGAGATCCCAGATGGAACCAAGGCTTTCATTCAGCACTGAGAAGCTTGAATCAAACCTCCAGTTTTCCTTAAGGCCTTACCTTGTAATCCAGGGCTGGGATCTGTGCTTTTTCCTGGTTAAGCCGTTACAGACTCTGTCACAGTTCCTATGAAATTGGGAAATCACTTCTTGTCTACAATCACCATTGCCTTGAGCTCTCACCAACCAGCACATGCTGGTTGGGGTTTTTAAAATTTATTCTGTCTTACCAGACTAGACAAAATAAAATGCCTTTAATAATTCCCCTCCACCACTACAACCACATTATTTCTTACAAATTGCTTCATCTTCATAGCAAACTAGTTTCACAAAGGTCAGAATAAACCACTCTTGCACTTTTAAAAACCAGCTTCACAAATCCTTTTAAAATTAGTGGAGGTTTTGTTTTAAACAATAGGCATTTTAAGTGATTGTTATCCTAGTTTGAGGGTATATTCCAGCCAGTATGGGATGGGTAACAGCACCACACCTGCCATCCTGTCACAGAACAGGAGGGGGTTCATATGGACTGGCACAGGTTAAATACTGAGCAGGTGTCCCATGTAATGACAGGATAAATAACTTGGAGACAGAGATGGGACAGGAGCAAGGAGACAAGGCTGTGCAACTGCAGAACTCATCAGTGCAAGGAGAACATTTCTGGCCTTCTCCCCTTCTTCATTGTCTTATCTTGTAGGAGAGGAATTCCTGCACTAACCATGCAGGACTGATGTGCTGAGCAGCTGTTCACACTTTCTCAAGTGTTAAATTTGCCAGAGTGAGCTCTGTGTGTGCAGGGAGAAAGCCATGCAGCTCTTGAAACCACAAAGGAAGCCCCCAAGTGTTCCAGTAACATGCAGTAATGGAGATTTAGTGCAAATAACCTGTGTAAACAGACATGAGTTGAACCAGCAGTGAAAGCCACAGAATTCCCTTGAGCCAGGTAAAGCTGCCTCAGGCTGTGGATGCTGTGGTGAGGGAGGGCCCTGCCCAGGCCTGGGATGCTGCAGGAGGACTTGGGGCTGGTTTAGGCCACATGAGGTTTGTGAGGCCCCCACATACTCAGGGGTCAGGCAGCAGCATGTTTGGAACATGGAATTTACTCATGCTACCACAGGGAATGCTCTCATTTAATGCTAGGGCTCTTCCCTCCCCCTGAGCAGTGCCTTCCTTTTCTCTCACAAGCTGTGAGTTGACTGCCTGGCTTTGGGGAGGAGGGGAGTTATCTTTTATAGTTTCCACTAAATAAAACATCAGCTTGGTCTGCCTGTTCTCTGTGGCCCTGGAACAGCCCAGCTGAAAGGTGATGCCCACACCAATCCCTGCAGTAAACTGAGATTGTGGCTGTGTGATGGGCTCTGCTTCCCTCCCATCCCTTTGCCCTGTCTCAAGCAATGCCCCCAGCTGTGTGTACCCATGGAAATGCCAGCAGCAGAGCTCTACACACAGTGATGAACATGCTGTAACTCCAAACCACAACAATCCCAACCTCGTGTTTCTCCTCACAGCTGTGAGCCTATGGACTCAGCTCTTGCCTGCAGCTGGATGAGGTGTTAAAACCCATGAACAAACTTGTTTTTCAAAGTCTCTGCACATCTCTATGATCAACATGCAAAAGTACACATTAACAGGGGTTAATCCCAAAAGATAAAGGCAGTGCTGGAGGCCCCTCAGGGCTCCATGTTCACAGTCATGATGCAAGATGCCACACTGGGATGGGAACAGCTCACCTGGAGGCTGCCTGTGCTCCCAGGACACACTGCTGCTTCTCTGGCAGCACAGCTCCCTCCACACACCTACTCCAGCACTGCAGTTACCATGAAGGACAAACACTTCTGTCTTGGCTTCCACAGGCTAAAAATGTCACTTACCTCCTCATTCTGCCATTGCTCAGAATGGAGCTTCCTACCCCAAAGGATGAGCTGCCAGGAACAGGAAGGAGCTGCTCTTGCACAGGACCATTCTTGTTACAAAGGGAGATTTTTGGATAGTGAGAATAGCACCAATCCTCTTTTTTCTAGCAGTACAGGGTCAGAAGCTTTAACACCTTTCCCTTCCTGGCCTGGATAAGTAATGAGTGACAAGATGAACACTCCCCACACACAGCAGTGCCAGGAACAATTATTTTGCCCAGTGAGCTTCAGAGAGGATGACATCTTACCACTGTGCCTACCTGTCTGGACTGTGTGTACAACATGAGTTTATTCCAACTGCAGCTCAACTCACCACTGCAGATCCCATTTGCTCCACATCAGTTACTGGTGAAAATGTGCCAGATTCAGTGAGGGCTGGCACAGCTCTGATGTGGTTACGGCCAGCTCTGTGAGGATTGTTGTTTTGGGCAATATTCACTCCCAGAAGAACTACAGAGAATGCTTATAAAGTATTTTCAAAGAGCTCTGACCTGGTAAGGTCCCTTCCGTTGGGGGATCTTGGCCCAGGTGAGGCTCTCAAACCCAGACTCCTCTTGTTGTTGCCTCAATTCAGACCAGATTTCCAGATGCCTGAAACTACCACCACCTTGTAACCAAAGCTGCAATTACACCTGAAATCCCCTATGGTAAACATCCACAGAACTGTTTTCTGTGGCTGTTTTAAACCACCTAAAGAAACAGCAAAGCATTTCAGATCCTCCCACCCACCACAATGCCCCCATTCATAACCCCAGCTAAAGGGGTTATGTTGTCAAAGGGGTTATATATGTCACAGCTCATGGAGTCACCCAGGAGCCACTGCAGGTGAGGAGGGAGCTGCCCCATTTCAAGACAGCACTCACTGGGGTGTTTCTGACAATAAACCTGACTCAGGGGCACTAACTGTGGAGGGTGTGTGATGACCTAGGAAAAATGCTGCACAAATAAATAAACTCCTGTGGTCAGAGAGCTGACCAAGAGACAAGAGAACTGCAAAGGGAAGCATAATGCAATACTTATACCTCATTTGTGGCATTGCAGCAATACAGTTGTTATTTTTCTCCTGCTAATTGACTTTGCTGTGTTAAATTGAATTTGAGCAGTACTTACAGTTCAATTCTTTAGGAAGGCAGAAAAGTGCACTGAGATGGAGAGATGCATTAACTTCTGGCAGGTCTCAGAGCCCCCTCCCATTCCTCCTCAGCAAGACATGCAACTGGAATCCCCCTGGTGACCTAACTATGGTCATGACAAACAGAACTCAATCAAATCTTCTGAGCAATTTGGAAAAAGAACAGAAAGCTTCTATTCCCAATTCACTTATCCTGCTGGGAATCTAACTTGACAAAAGCTCCAAGCTGGATGAAAGCTTTGCCAAAGGAATTAGAGTGGCTGCCTCAAAAGAGAACACAAGCAAGTTTAAAACAGTCCCCAAAGCAGCAGCAAAGCTGTACCATGGCTCAGCTGATGGTCACACACAGCTTCAGCTGTCCCACAGTCCATGCAGGGCAGACAGACATGAAGACAGACAGAGCCCTCTTAAGCAGCCTTCCAGCTCTGAATTCATGGCCCCAGACCCAGCTGTGTCACACTGGTGCTGCCCACCTGGTCCCACTTCCCCTGGCACCAGTGGAGCCTCATCCCTGCCCACTGTGGCAGCAGGGACAGGCAGGGGTGATGAGCATGGGGTGAAAATGTTTGTCATGGGTTTCATTCCTACTGCCTGCAAGTGGCAGCATCCTCCACAGCTTCTCCACGTGTCCAGCTCAGTCCTTTTCAGGCCACATACCTGGTACAGCTGCAATTTCCCAGCTCTGACTCAGGCTAAGGCCATCCAGAGGGTTTAGAGACTGTCACTTGTCCCAGACCCTCAGAGCCTCTACAGCAGCCTCTCTGTCTCTCGGGGGGTTACAGGGACACAAAGTCCTCCATGGGAGCCTCGGGGCTCCTGTCACACACACCCACACTCTCATTCTCAGCCTTTGTCCCACTGTGGTCACACCACCAGCATGAGGTAGGGGCACAGGGTGAGGGTGAGATTTCTTTAAAGCTCCTGCCCAAGATTGGCTTTTGGCCACTCCTCCCTGCCAGCCTGGGGCAGTGGAGAAAAGGGAGGGAGACTGGGGACAGCAGCTGCCAAGACACAGGGGTGCACAGGGGACATCACACTTTAATCAGGGGGCAACGGAGTTAATGAGGGGAAACTGGGATCACAGAGGGACACAGGACATTGTTCTGGTTATACTTGGTGCACAAACCATGGTTTTAACAGATGTTTGTTAAACAAGTCAGTTTTGTTTTTATTAAACCCAGCTTTGGTACAGGTCATTCCTGAGATTCATTTACAAGGTTGTTTAAAACAAAGATAAACTGGGGCCTCTCCCTGTTCCTGTGTGAAGTTACTGGGGCACAGACATCACACTTTGTTTTTCCCCTTTCCTTTTCTTAGAGAAAAGTGTTTGTGAAAGGGGAAGTCAGTCTGTTACAAACACAGAACTTACACCAGGAACACTGAGTCTCCAGCTTTAAACCATTTCTCCTCCATTAATAAATAACATTTAGCTGTGCTTTAACATGGCTCCCTTAGCACCCATCACACCCCAGCAGGAGGAGCAGAGCCCAGACTGGCCAGGCAGGGTCACCTGGCCCAAAGCAGCAGAGGGGAGGTGGGCAGGGAGCTCTGGGGAAGGGGTTATGGTGTGAGGCACCAAGTGCAGCCCTCAGAAAACTAAAGAGATGAAGGTTGGAGCATTTTGGTTATAAAACCTGTAAGTATACAGAAGCAAGCTGCACAGAAGAGTTATTGTTATGAAAGGTGAGAATTCAGCTGAAAGATTAGGGATGTCAGGTTAGGGACATCGGGTTCCCCAGTTACACCCCAAAACCAGAGTGAGGAGAGGACCTGCAGGACCCTGTTACTGCAGCAGCTCGAGCAGCAAAGCTGGAAGCTCCTCACACTACCCCAGCTTTGTGCCTCACCTCTCTGGAGTCAGTCAGTGTTAACTCCCTTGGGCTGAGCCCCAAAAGAAGCATTCTGGGTTTAGTGCCAGCCGTGCAGCAGCGTGAATTAGCAGTTTACCTTTTGCAAGTATCTTGGATTTCAACTTTACCAAGAAACCTGATTAAGCAAACTTTTCCCCATCAAAAGACACGGTGAATTTTAGTCCTTGCTACATATTCTCTTCTGTGCAATATATTGCAAGCTTAAAGGTGTAAGCACCAATTAATTTCTTCTGCATGAGATGTTTTGGCCTTAATAAATCTTCTAATTAACATATCTTCCTGTTGTTATGGAGTACGCACTGGGAAGACTAAAGAAGCTATAGAAAGAACAAAAGAAAATCAGTGTTTAAGTTTCAGTTATATACATTAAGTAACGACAGCATGAAAGGTCAAAGCACCCATCTATTGTACAGACATTTGAGTTTAACCCATTGCAACTTGGAGAAGCTCTCACAGCTGTCAACATCTTGTTTGGAACTGGTAATAAAAGGATTGATTTAAAATTTTAATGAAAAGACTGATGATGGAACAGGAGAAAGGACTGCTGGTGGAACAGGAGAAAGGACTGCTGGTGGAACAGGAGAAATCCCAGGTGATGGAGACCCCCAAGAGCAGCAAACCACCCACACAGATGGAGCAGTGGCTTTGCAGGGTCCCTCACAGCTGCAGAGTTCTCCAGAGGGAAGAGCCAAGGACAAGGCTGGGTTTGTGGGGCTGTCTCCTGAAGGAAAGTGCCATCATGCCATGTCCCGTGGCCTTGGCCACCAGGCTTGGGCTTGGGAACTGCAAAGCATGGGCGGCACCTACCTCACTGCTGAGCTGCTTCTCTAACAAACCTGTGCATTTCTCCTCCTCCTCAAAGCATCTCTAGGAGCTCTGCACAAGTATTAATGAATGCTCTTAACACTGCTCCTCTAGAAAGACACTTGCCAATGCACATTGGCATTCAGACCAAGAATCTGAATCACCAGGTGGCCCACCTTTAAAAGCACCAGCTGTTCCACCACCTTTGGTTCCCTGAATTCTGAATGCATGTGCTCCTCTCTGGTCTCCCAGATCTGGCTTTAAAATGTATTGGGATGGAAAAGGATGTAAACATTTCATACAAACCACTTGGTATCAATTGGTAATTCCTTACTAAAGTTTTTGCTTAAAAGGTTTCCAGATACATATTCCTAAAAAGCTTGGAGAGGCAGCCAGGATCACCAGCCTGGGTTTGCTCTTCAAGCTGGGGCTGCAGAGAAACCTCCCACCAGCAGCACTGCTACAGCAAACACTGCATCAGCCAAACCCCACACTGGCAGTGTCTGAAGTGCAGCAGTGATCTCAGCACAATACCAAATAAACCCCAAAAGGGCCCAAAGTTGAGTGAATATAACTTGGTAGCAATGGCCCAGACCAGACACTGAGAACAAACCTTTGGGAAAGGCCTGAGCATCTTTCTGAAAGCAGAGCACCAAACTGAAGCTGTGCTCTTTTGCTGGCCATGACCTAAGAGTACAATGACCCTCTCCAGACAAGGAACACAGCTTTGGATGCACCCCAGGAAGCCTCTCCACCTCTGCTCCCTTCCCACCCTACCTTTAAATCACCTTTGGGCACCATGAAATCAGCAAAGCTGCTGGGACATCCCTGCTCAGTCACCAGATCTCACAAAGGAGATGTACCAACAAGCCTCAGAGCTCCTTCTGCCCAAACACTGATAGCTTTTGGATTAATGCCTAAGAATTTCTCCCCAGATTACATAGGAAGTACATTTCCACATACTCTATGATTAGCTAGTTGTTAATTAATTAGCTAATTATATTCGTGAATGTCCCAAACATAAGACAGCCTGTGACTGGTGAGCTTGCAATCATAACACACTATTGTTGTGACAGATAATACAGAAAATAACTAGATTGCACAGAAAATGCACCACTAAATAAATGACACCACAAAAACTCAAAATACATGTGAGATTTAATAAAAGAAAAAAAAGTACAAAGTGAGTGGAAATAAAAGAAAGGAAAAAAACCAAACCAAACCATGAACCCCAACACGCTGGGAATGCCAAAGCAAAGGGATGCAGCAGGTCCCAGAGGGCTCTGCCCCCCTGCAGGTCCCCAAGGTGCCTCCATGGCTCCAAACATCCCCTCCACACCCCTGGGGCAAACACCTCAGCCAGGCATCACCCCCCAGAGACCCACAAAACACAGTTTAATTTAGAAAGCAGACAACATAGAGGACGATAAACATTTAAATGATTAAAAAAAATTGATAACTTTTCCCATTAATACCAATCTTTTACAGAAAAATATATAAAACAGCTGAAAGATGTGTAGCTGGATGGTTTCAATGATTTCTGAGGGGTATTTCTTTCACTTTTTCTGGCCTACAAGATTTTAAGTCTTCAGACTGGGTGAGATCAGCATCACAACATATAATTTGTTAAATATAAACAAGACACAGAACTACCCTACCACAATACTTAAATCTTGTCTCAGCCAAAAGAAAACAACAAATACTCAAGGGAAAAAAAAATGACTGAGTCTCCCTGGGGAGATTATGTTGAACTAATAGGACAAGGGATATATGTCACAACATAAAATCAAAGTAATATAATAATAATAATCATGAAAATATTGTTACATACATTCTGAATGTCTTCTTCAGAAAATGCTGTAAATTTCTCCACAATGCCCATGGATTTGAAGATTTTTATTCTTTGTTATAATAATATTTTTTAACTATCTGTTATTCTAGG